AGAAGAAGAAGAAGAAGAAGAAGAAGAAGAAGAAGAAGAAGAAGAAGAAGAAGAAGAAGAAGAAGAAGAAGAAGAAGAAGAAGAAGAAGATTGTTGTATTTACCCCAGAAAATCTTTGCTGGGCATATTACATGTGAATTTTTGAGACCAGACCCAACTAGAAGTGCTGTTTTCATTATCAGTGGTCCTAGCCAAGGTTCTCAAGACTAAAAATGTTTTTACAAGAATTTGTGTTTCGTTTCCCTTATGACAGGTTTTTCCCTTAAGTTGGCTTTGACAAGGGAGCGAAGGAGTTAATTTCATCTAAAATAGTGCCCAATGTGCCATGGATGCTTCAGTATTTGAGTAATTCTTTTATTTATAGAGTTTAAGCTAGCAGAGGCATGGGGAAGTAAGGACTGGGGTAGGCGGCCTACGAAGACATACAAATCAAGGTGAACAGATAGGGAGCAGTCCTGTGAATGCTGCCCTCAGGCTTCCACTGTGCGCTGACCTGTCAGCATGCAGAGGGACCAGAGCGAGGCTTTGGATGTGTTGTCTTCAGGAGGAGCTGTCTGCTCCAAGTAAATTTTTTACTGGATTTAAGATTGGATTTCTGAAACCTGTAGAGGTATTTAATATGTATCTGGATTATAGGTGTATGAGTTACAAGCTGGTTTTTTTTTATTTTTTTTATTTTGGTGCAGGGTCTACTGGGTCTACAGGGTCTCACTCTGTAGATTGGACTCATAGTGATCCACCTGTGTTCAGCCTCCCAAGAGCTGGGATTACAGGCATGCACCACCACACCAAGTCTCAATCATCAATTCAGTGTGCCCAGGGGGTGGGACCAGCACAGCATGCCGGGGATCAAACTCAGCTGCTGCATCTGCCTAAGTAGGGGCTTTGATCGACTGAGCTATTTGGCTGGCCCTACAAGCTGGGTTTTTTTTAATTAAAAAATTTTTTTAGTTTCATGATCTGTATGCTGCAAGTAGTTTTTGTTTAACTTAGTGTTTGAGTTAACTTTCACTATAAATACAGGCCCGTTATCATTGTCAATAATCAAGAGTAGGCCGTATTTAGTGATGATTTTTTATAGCAGGACTCTGTAACCTTTTATTGATTTTTAGTAAGGGTAGGGAACAGGAGGTTGGGGCCCGTGCCACAGATGCTGAAGCCTGAGCTGGCTGCAGGGGTGTGGGTACCAGTGCAGCAGCTTGAGCTTGTAGAACATATGGTGGGGGCAGGGCTGGTGGCTGCAGTTGATGTTCTAGTCAGTCAGATCCCCAGAGGGGGCTTAGGCCTCTAGACCAGATTATTTTGTATCATTGGTGGCAGATTTTCAAACAGCAGCAGGAAGCACTTCTCTGTGCAGGTCATCACTGCAGGAGAGTTTTGGCTGAAATAGCTTTGCCCAGGAGGGTGACCACCGCCTGTTTGGCCTGTTGGAATTTATTTCTGACAGAGCTTCTTCCATCTGTAAACAGGGTGTACTCAGCATCTGTTGTGGGGGGTTAATTCTGATGGGCTTGCAAATAGTTTATCAGACACTGCCAAGCAGTCGTGGGCTGTTGGGGCCAGCTCTGTAGGCAGGTACATGGCAGGATTGAGTGGTTTTATTGCCACAGAGTCAGGTGGCATTTTTGCACAGGAGTCCTTGGTACTGGGTGATGTCTAGCATAGCATATGGCATCTGGACAGTTGGGTCTTGGCCTACGATAAGTTCGTC